GCACTCAAAACAGGTTAAGCATTCATCTCTACCCAGTGCCAAGGTTGACGACATCTATCAACATGTCATCACTCAAGTGAAATAACACAAGCCCTCTGAGATAATCCTGCACATCGGTACCAAAAACGTCAAAGACAGCACTGAGGACATTCGGGATAAAGTTGTCTCTCTGGTAGAGGTAATCCAGTCTTCTTCTAAAGTACCAAAGCACAAGCCCCAACATATTGCTCTATCTGGTGTTATCCACCGGTACGGCGAGACTGCCTCAGAATCAACCAAAGTAAATATGACCAATAGATGCTTAAAGGAAGCGGCTTATCAGTGGGATTGAGGCTTCATTGATAATGCTAGTATTGGCTACTGCCACTTAAGCCGTGGTGGTATCCACCTCAATAGATCTGGTCAGGCCACATTAGCCATGAACGTTCTTATACCCAAGATCAACAATGTCAACAGACTCGGTGAAGAAAGACCACTGTAAGAGACCTTGTGTGTCCCCTAATCGAACTTATGCAGAAGCTTTTCGAGTTCACCGAGGCCAGGATTTTCCAGAACGAGCGTGGAAAACAAGGATGAGAACGCAGTCAACACAGGACAACCGACAGGACAACCGTTCTTACCTAAGACCATGCCAGCCACTACCATCACAAGCGACCAAGTGGTTCAAGTACCAGCAGAGAATGAGCCAGTCCGGGAGCCATCCACGTGGTCGCAGATACAAGCAATCGAATCATCCCACACCATAAATGGCCCGGACTTAATCAGCGGGTCCATTCCTAAACTTAACGGTAGAGGTATAAAGGTTGCTCATCTTAACATCCACAGAGTGGTTAGCAAAATAGATGATCTCCGACATTTATTGAAGTTGAAGCCTTTTAATGTAATTTGTCTCAATGAAACACTGTGTGACAGTATCAGATGATGAAATATCAATTGATGGGTTTACTACTGTGAGAAAAGACAGAACTAGGCACGGCGAAGGTGTTGCAGTTTATATTTCCAACCACCTTACTTTCACAAGATTTGATATCGAATCCGAGCATCTAGAAATTATTTGGCTCGAAGTAAAATATGACCAATGTGTACCGATTTCAGTTGGATCTGTTTACAGACCACCTAATTCTAGTAGTCTTTTCTCTGAAAAAAATTGATAATGATCTATCCACAGCCTTAATGACTAATAATGACATTATCCTACTAGGTGATTTTAATTGCAATTGTTCCAATAGTGTGCCAAACAATAGTACAGGTAATCTGAAGGTTTATACCGAGATGTACGGGCTAACCCAGTTAATTCAGCAACCAACAAGGGTCACCAGTCAAAGCAAAACTACTATTGATTAAATATTTGTTAATAACCAAAATGTACATAATGAGAGTGGAGTGTTTTACACAGGTATCAGTGACCAATTCCTGATCTACACTATAATTAAGGAATACTAAGCATCATCTTCAACCCCAACATGGCCATAATCGTATATCATACAGGCCAATGTAAATTTTTGTAATGTAAAAATTTTATCCATGATTTATCCTGTCAACAATAGGAAATCCTTGATACCACTGAAGACATTGACTTGCCTTGTGAAGAATGGATTGACATGTTCATAAATGTCGTTGATTCCCATGTTCCTCTTCGACAAAAAATGTGAGGAAAAATGCATGTCCATGGATATCGCATGATATTATTGACATGATGAAAGAAAGAGATAAAATGGATAAAGCTGCTGCAAAATCAAATAATACAGAATAAATGGAGTGCATACCACCCACTTAGAAACCAAGTCACTTGTTTATTAATGCGTAAACAAAAATCTGATTATTATTGTGGTATTCTTTGTGACAACAGAGGAAATGGCAAAAAATGGAATTGTATTAATGAGGTAATATTGAAGAAAAAACACTTTACAGAATTCGATCCATCATGAAGGTCAAAAATGTGATAAGCCTGACGATATTGCAAATGTCTTTAACAAATATTTTATTAACTGCGCAAAGAAAGCGATCAAGAAGTTGCTAGAGAATCACAAAACACATACATAATATGAGAATGATAAGGTTCAAAGTGCTTTTAACCTTGAATCTGTTTCTGAAAGTTATGTTGCTGAGATTATAAAGAACATGGATATAAACAAGGCCATCGGGGACGATGTCAGTTGCTATCTTCTTAAAATTGCTCTGCCTGCAATTTTCGAGTCGCGAACTAAACTTGTTAACCGGTCACTACAATCTGGTTAAGTGCCTCGAATTATGAAAAGTGCAAAGGTCACGCCAGTACCGGTATATAAAATCTGGTGAATAGTCTGACGTAGGCAATTACCGACCAATGTCTGTCCTCCCAGTAATCGTAAGATTTTGGAAAAGTCTGTCTATGATTAGCTACGTGCATGTATTAATGACAATGAACTTATGCATGCTAATCAATCTGGTTTTCTACCTTTGCACTCCACATTGCCTGTTTTAGCAAAATTAGTTAACCAGTGGAACAGTAACATTGAAAGTGGCTTATTTAATGGAGTGGCTTTTATTGACCTAAGGAAGGCGTTTGATACAATTGACCACAACATTCTCCTTTCTAAACTGAACTCCCTTGATTGCTCAAATCACACACTGAACTGGTTTTCCAATTATTTGCCAAACTGGACTCAAAGGGTTTAACTTAATAAAGTCTACTCTGATCCATGAAAGGTTGTCAGCGGAGTACCACAAGGCTCAATTCTGGGCCCGCTATTATTCTCTGTATATGTAAATTTCATGCTGTCAGCAGTCATTGATGGCATAGTGGACATGTTTGCCGGGGACATCACTGTTACTGTCTGCAGCAAAAATGCAAATGAACTTGCTGACAAATTAAATGTTGCGATAGATCAAATAAGCAGATGGCTAAAGAGTAATAGACTTGTGTTGAATTTTGATAAAACTATTTTGTGATTTAAGGGACCAAGGCAAAACTGAAAAATTCCAGTGAAATCACAGTATCTCGGAGGCTCACTCCTGATGATGTCATTATGACGATTTTTTTTATGGGACGCGCACAAATATGAAATTAGTCAGATTGACTAAAGTACGGAAGTCTGGCTGTCAACAAACATTAACGATCAGTAAGTTACCAAAATGGTGCCTTGAAAAGGTGTACAAAGTCAAGGGATACTAGCACATTTGGATTTATTACTTCTTGCTTAACCACTTCATGCCGGGGCATTTTCAATGTTGATGATGCTGGGCCGGCATGACTATCATTTTTTCCGTTTTCAAAATCCTTCAAAAATTCATCATTTCATTTAACGGTCGTTTATAGCCGCATGAAGTAATCTTTAGGTACTACTCTAAGTTGACAGGTGATATAGTGCTGTGAAGAGTGGAACATTAATGTCATGTGACTTGTCACATGATGTCATCACCACATCAGGTCAATATTTGTCTAAAGCACTCCCCAACTAAGCCTGTGGCTCTCAGGTAAGCTTAACAGCATACCCAGTATGCATAAGGGTAACATAAACATCCGTATCATATTTGGGAATAGAAAATAATCATAGAATACACTGTGCATTTCAGTGAGGTTAAAGTCACGTGCAGTTGGTGACCTTTTACATGTACATTGTATTTCATGTACCAGTTGCATCCATATACTTTTCATGTAGCATTTCATAAATCAGTATTATTGTTGATTGTGCCACACTTCCTATAAACAGAAGTGAGGGTAACTAAATGCTTAATTTGTTTGACATTACAGGGGATTTAAGGTTTTCCATGTTAAGATTTCTACATAATGTTGTGGTTAAAATTAGGTCATGTTATTATGTATTACATGACATAGAGTTTTTGTGCTAGGTCCCTATGACTTGTAAGTGTATGGGGGTATCAGGGCTACATATAATGATGTGCAGACACGGCTAATAAGCGTGTATTCATACAGTATTATGCTTGTCCACAGAAGTACATTTGATTCAGCAGAATGTTATAGTGCTGAATGTTTGGAGGGTGTATTCATTCATTGTACTCTCTATCTCATTCTCAGTTTCCACCCTCTAAGATTGTGATTGCAAGGCTTGTTGACCTGCATTGTTGGTGTAGAACAATATTATAGTGTAGTGTGGAGTTGCCACAAGACATCACATCACGACTGGTGGCAGTCAAATTGAACTGTAGCTTATATGAGTGGGAGTTCACCCCGGATTGACCATATAATTCCTTCCTGCAAAATGTCCGCAATTTCCAGAATATAAGCTGCAGCTTATACGTTGATTCTCATGCTGAAAAATGTCTACACCGAGCGGTGTGTACCGCAAACTTTGAAGGATAAAATCAGTCACAAAAGCCACACCCGGGCCACCTGTACCTCATGCAGGTAGCACAGTCATGTTTTCATTGGTTGTCATTTTGTCGTTTACATCTGAAAACTCGAAACTCAGAGAATAAATAAATATTTGATTTGTTCGGATTTTAAGTTTTGAATGGAATTCCCTGAGTCATTGAGTCATGAAATACATAACATGTACATGAAATGTGCAGGCCTACACTGTACGTAATTTTAAACTTCATTTTATTGCTCTGCTTTGGCAACAATTTTTAGTGATTATTTTCCAGCTTTTCATTCACTCTCATTGTGTATTTTTTGCAGACGAATGATAATTCTACCAAGATTTTTATTGTTGTAACCTAAAGATATCTTTCTACTGTTAAATAAAAATGAGCCTCCTTGGTGTACATTCATGTGGCAGATCTTTGTCTTTTTGCCGATCGTGTTCAGCATGATAGAATTTCACGTTTTTTTACACTTGGGTTTTCTGAGGACAACACTTCCTGTGGTCACGTAGTTATCAAAGAGTCAGCGATAGGACTGTCCATGAATGGGTCTGCGGTAGCAGTCAGGCTAGTCTGAAAACAGGGTTTCATTGCATGCACAGCGTATGACTCGTGCAGCATGCAAGCAACACAAGTAGCTCCGATGTAATGACTCACCAAGGTCTCGTGGCTGAGTTTATATTTTTGAAGCAATTTAGCAGTGTGTTGTTTGATCGGCATCACAAAAACATTGAGATAACCGGATGTAGTGTTGTGGACATTTACAGGGAATTTTTTTGTTTACAAAAAAGCCTATTCTTTTGGCAAGAAATAGTCGGCCTACAAGATGAAACGATCTTTCGACTTAACTGACCTTGAGTTATCAAAATTTTATTGTACGTCCCAACCGCATAACTTTTGCTGGCCGCTGCGAAAAAAGGGCAACAGCTGATGCACGGCCTACGGAGGACAACCATTCAGCCCGCAAAAATTATTAAATTTGAGGACTGAAATTCACTTTTTATGGTGATACTCATTCACATTTTGCTTACTTTTATTAGGATTGCACGTGTAGTGGAACTATTTACATACTATACATGCTGTGTAAGTGCTTTAGCATGCAGCACGATGGCATTAGTGGCTGACTTTAAATCTTAATTTGCCAACATCAGGTGGCTTATATTCTGAAAATTACGGTGTTCTTGGAGTGTATTTGCTAGGTGTAGTTGCATTAAACTTACAATCTGCTTATGGTCTTTTAAACTACAGGGGCCAATTTCATAGAGCCGCTCAAGCACAAAATTTGCTTAAGCAGGAAAAAACTTTGCTTAATAAACAACGGTTACCAGCTCAAACTCTATCTGATAGTCATGCAACCAAAAAACAGCTAAATACGATCCCAAAACAATATACATACAAGGAGTTTTGGCTGGTTATCAGATTTATCAAGTAAGTTTTTTTTTTCGGGCTTAAGCCAATTTCATGCTTAAGCAGCTCTATGAAATTGGCCCGTTTAATGGGTAATGCATTTTAAACCCCAAACTTGACACAGCTGAGAATTGAATGCCCTGCAAGTAATTCCAATTAATTGGCAGGCTTCTGAAATGTAAATTCACCCATTTAAATTTAATTTGGGCATAAGTTGAAATGTAGTACAGTACAGAACCTTACCTCAAGGAGATCTTTGCAACGCTGAACAAAGGCATCTACCTGAGCAAAGATACTGCTTTGGTCCAATACCCATCCTTCTGAGGAGTACTTGTGATGCATCTGTCTTACCTAAAATTAAAAAAAATACTGCTTATGCAATTCTTAAAAAAAAAAGCACTTTTAAGTGAGTGCTTTGTCCCTGAGAAAATGGCAAAAAATCTTGTCAAGCTTCAATTTACAATAAGAATATACGATCTGAAAGATACTTACACATCTCCTATAGACCTGAGCCTTTCAAATGTATGGTCGCAAACTAACACTGCAGTAACCATAAAATGTGTTGATAACAGCAGAAACAGTGCCAACATGCTCTTGACAATAGCCAAATCAAGGCATCACAGCTAACAAATTTTTTTGTTCGCTGAACAGAAGGAAGAGCTTCAAGAAAAAGTCAGTGATAAACACAAAGCACATGTAGTGCAACTTTGCTCATCTCTTCCAATTTTTACTACCCAACCAATTTCAAGTCCTTTTTCTTCAAGTTCAAGCTTTCCAAGTGACTTACATATGAGTAGGTTTCTTTCCATGCCTTGCAGCAGTCAATGCTCTGGTGGAGACTTTTCATGGATGATGCTACGTAGCCATCAAATAGTTTCTCCAGTGAAATTTCCTTACAGCATCGATGTATAATTTCATTGCTCACCTACATGTAGAATATAACAGCATTCTAAATGAATTTATGTGAATTAATACAGGAAGTTTTATTCTTCCACAGACTAGTTCAAGTCATAATTCCCCAAAATTGTTTGTGTCTGTCTTTAATCATCGCATATGGGATCTCAAAGAAAGTTACATGTATATGGTAGGGGCTCAAAAAAAGTCTTTTAGTCACAAATCCAGTGGACATGAGCATATCTTTAATTTTTGTGATAATATTTTTGTGATATCTGGTTTGAGGGCAGGGACCATTCTGTACTGGTCACAAGTTAATGCAACGCAGGATCAGATCCTGATCCCGGGATCTGATCCTCCTCTCAAGAAGGATGAGATCCAGTTCAGATCCCGGAATTTGATGTAACTACATCCGGTGCAAGTCTTGAAGCACGTGAAATCAAGTCTGTGTCGTCGAGAAGACCTACATGTCATGTATACGTACATGACATTGTAAACACACCATACATTCACTATAGGCCCAGATGCCACATACACAACCACACAAGTACAGTTGTACTTTGGAACCGTTTGGATGGTTTGATATGTGAAGCTGGCAACGTCCATTCTTTCAAAGAGAAGGCAAATAACTTCTTTCTTTCATTGGATCATGATTTATCTCATGTATGACTTTTTTTTTCTTTGTGTTTTTTACTTGACACGGCAGGTTTGTGTGGGTTGCTGGATGGCAACTTACAGCGTTTATGCTTTTCTCATTCTTGCCTGTTTCATCTTTTTACAATAATAATAATAAAGTCTTCCCCCTCTGCATGCACAGTCCAGCAGTAAGCTGCCCTTAATTGATGATCCACCCATGTCTTCCCTACAAACCTTGGCCCACTCTTTTCATTTCTTACTATGTCCTTGTTTATGCTTCATTCCGCAGGCACCCCTCACACCTGGTTGATTGGCAACAGTATTGTCTTCAGCAACAGAAAGTATGCTTCACTTGAACCTTCATCTGTTCTCCTCACCTGGCAGGGTGTGTGGGGAGCAAAGATCTCATCAATGATCCCCTCTGTCAGGGTAGAGCTTAAACAGTCTCCGGTCCCTTATACTACCGTTATCCACCCAGGGACTAATGATTTATCTTCCATTCCTGTTAAGGAGATCCGAGGGTGATTGGAGGAGGGCTAACAGGGTCTGCACATGTTCCCCCAAACATGCATTGTATGGTGTGGCATTTTACCTCGTCTATTTTATTATGGGGAGGAGCGTCCTGGGGAGGGCAGGCAGAACATGGCTGCCCTGAACAAGTATGCTCATACATGTATGGTACGTAAACAATTGGGCAATGCTCATGCAATTAGGCATTCTCACACCATTAACCCAAGCCAGCAGACCATTTATTGCCACAACGACATCCATTTATCACCCCTAGGCAACAAGCTATTCTGCGACAAAATCTTTGCAGCACTGTCCTTCTTTGCATCGAACCCCTCCATTCTCCTTTACCCACTACCCGCCCTAGATAGTTAGCTGGCTCATTCGGTTCACCAGACTTAGGTTCAACCCCGTCCCCCCTCGATAGGGCCCATTGCCATTCGTGAATGCGGTGGCTAGGAAGCATATACCCATTGTGCTAACAGGTATATACATGTGAACTAGTAAATGGGGGGGGGCCACAAAGGACTTTGTTGTGCTTATAATATTTGGGGGAAAAGGAGAAGAGAGAAGATGGGAGAACAGAATTTGCCCTTGGTTGTTGCATCGGGAAAAGGGAGTGGGTGCTTGGCAAGTCCCTCATTCAGCACTTGTTTGGCACAAATGGGAGGGTGGGATCAATGTATGGGGATAATTCCAAGGATTCATCAAGTCACACAGACAAATTTGTTAGAAGCCGAATCACCTGTTTTGTAATTCAAGTTAATCACCTGAGTTCATGATTGTTCTCTGTCTTATGACCTTTGATCCTCAAGTCTGCATATCCATTGTAATTGGGTGCTTAAGGAAAAATTGTCAATTGTGTATAAGCATTTGACCTTGTCTTAATTGCTTCTGTGCATATTTGCCAAAGATTTGTATAATTTTGTGTGACTCATGTTGGTAGTGGTTTTGCATGAAATTGCCAAACCAATCTGGTTTAGCATATCTTACGAAATAGTATGGTATATACTATACATTACACATAGTAAAATAAGTCAAACTCTGCATTATTGGCATGTATTATGTTAATACATAAGATACTTGCTTTTATTTCAAACTGGCAAGTTTACTAGAAAGAGCAATGAAACACTCGGCTTTCTCTCATCCTCTCTAGTGCCAAATGACCATCTCTCAGCCTAACGTTTTTTAACCCAAAGCATTTAGAGTGAAAAAGGTAGATATTACCCACCTAACAAACCTAGTTTTTTTTCCCATTCAACAGGAACTACCACTATTTTTTGTTCAGCCTTATGCTGTGGTCTTGCCCCAACAAACATATTGTGACATGCATGTAAATGACTGTACATAGGATGGACGGAGCTACAGTGACTGAACTGCATTGAACAAACAATAAGGTGTGAGATAGCCCTTCAGGGCTCCCCTTATCATTGTGATTTGACTGGCCAGACCAGGGAATCCTGAAATCACGAAAAGCATCTTAATGTGGGCCTGGGCCAAGAATTGGGTGCACTACTTGACACCATCAGAAAGAGGTTGGGGTTGATCAACATCTTCCAGATCTGTGTGAAACAAACAGGCCAGGAATAACATGAGTTGAATACATACCTTTCTGAAAAGGCCAGTAAGTCTCTCTCTGCTCTTGTAATGCTTGGAGTTGACCCAAACCATTCTGATCAGGTTGATGATCTTAGCCAACATGGGCGGAATGTCTGCTGGTTTGGCCTTAGACAGCTCTTCACACGGCTCTTTCAGAGTGGAGAGAAACTTCAAGTTACTCTGAGCCTGCTCTGAGCCATCCTAAATACAAGTATAAAATCAAGACTGATTAAGGAAAAATATTTCGAAGTCATGACAAACGTATTTTTAGAACTTGTGCCTATTTTGGGGAGTCAGGTTGGCAAGGTAGTTCTTTCCTCGCCTTCCACATCTGTGGTCCCGGGCTCAATTCCCGGCACGGTCCACATGTGGATATGGTTTTCAGTCCCTATATGACTCTGTGGGTTTTACCCAGAATATTCCTCTGGGATTTTCCTCCCACCTCTAAAACTGTAACTGCTTCTCACTGTCTCCCCTTTACTGATGTTGGTGAATGTGAGTCATTTGGCGGCTGCCCTTGTATGCCATCGGCTCAACCATGTTTAAATGTATTCATTGTTCCACGCTTAATGTCTTCATTGTACAGCGCATTTGAACATATCTATATGAAATTTGTGCTTTATAAATGAATAAATTATTATTATTATAATTATTCGCAAAGAATTACTCACCTTAAATCATTCATGAATAGTTTACATATCTGTGAGTGGTACCGGAGCTGTACAGCAATGTGTTATTTTTGACACTGCTCCTGTAGTTTCAAATTTTAGTGGCCTTACTACTACAAATCCACTTTCAGGAATTGATTGACAGGAATTAATTGGAGGAAGAATGTAGCTGTTTAGAGTAGTGTTCTTACTGTGACTACTAATTATACTTCAGTAGCAACAGACAGCACTTTTTATTGAGAATAAAAATATTTAAAAATGTTATTCCATTACCTGGATCTGCTTTGAAAGCTTTCTAAATGAAGCTACGTAGGATGACTTTGAAAGCTCTAAGATTGTCTGGATCCTCAGCACACCTTCTTTTCTCAGCTGTTCACTGATTCCAGAGAGATCAACACAACGATTATGCCAGAAGGCAATTTCCTCCAAAGGGCCAGAGTTTTCTGAGGTTTCAATGGCATCCTGTGATGCAAGGACTTCTTTAATTTGCCTTGTCCAGTGCACCATGGCAGCTAGGTAGAAAAGAAGAATGAAAACAGTTTGCTTATTTTTACAATGAAATTGTATGGCATATTCTTCCTAAATGAACCAAAATGCAACTCCATTAGTCATTTTTCAAAACTCAAAATATGAAGGGACTGACATTTCGATCCTAGCAGAATCTTTCTCAAAGGCAAAATGACAAGTGGACAGGACAAACAAGCAAACAGAGAATGCTGCAGGCTGGATAAAGGGGACTGCATGAAAGGCATGGTTGAACAGCACAGGAATGTAAGGTGCACCTTCAGATTTATAAAAATGATTATTTGACGATTCTTAGGCATACTGTGTACATTTGGTGGACATTTTGTTGGCTACCAGTGCAAATTAAATGGGGTTTAATTCATTTCAAGTTTTACGTCAAAGTGTTAGCACCAGAGGACTTGATTTCAAAACCTCTCTCAACAGGGAGAATTCAGTATAATTTTCCACTGAGGTATTTTAAAGCACCTTTAAAAAAATTTTTTTTTAAATATAAGCCATGAAAAAAAGCACAAAATTGACGGGAAATGAAGAGAAAAGTTTGGCTCTCTTCATTCTCTTGTCGTTTATAATCACCCTCACTAAACCAGCATATCTGCCAGGTTGTACCTAAAATTATCTTTAGGTTTGGCAGCATCAAAAATGTAGAATGAGTACAATATGTTCATTGCAAACATCATATTTGACAGAATATTGATGACGCTTGAGAATTTTGACAAAAAATGCATGACGTTCGAGAATGCTGAAAATGCTGTCACGTGTAGTGCTTGAAACTTCCATGCTCGATGTTCATTTTTGCAGCTTATTTTGGAGATATACCCACTGAAAATTAAGTTAAAATTAACAACTCTGTAAGCATTAGATTTTTATCATGAACTATATCTTATGTCTTAGACGTCTTTTTTTTTTTAACGTCATTTAGAACGACAGATTGTCTTTTGAGAAACTTTTATACGAAGGAAAATATCCCGAAACGTCACCATTCCGTGGAGGGGCTCATGAATATTGAATAAAAAAGAGGGTGCACTATCTGGGTTAATGTCAAAGGTCAAACAGGCCACGATGCAGCAAAATGTTTCTCTAATGTGTCTAATGGCACCACGAGATAATGACAGAAGCCGCAAAATTGCCAAGATCGGTATTTTGGACTATAGTTTTCGGAAACGTTCTTGAAGATAATGTGATCGGTCCAGTCGTAAAAGGATGATGGTTTGGGGGTGCTTTTTTGCACTGTTTTAAAACTTGCATGTACATCGATTTGATTTATCTAGCTGTTTTTTTGCCATCAATTTTTTTTACACTTAATGACAGAATCGAATGAAGTTCATGACTGCCGATTTCGGGACCCGATTAATTGTGAGAGGTATTTTTAATTTTGTGATTATGGTTTTAATATGTGTACATGTAAATATTATCACCTTTCACAACATATAAATCTGTGTAAAATTATCACTCCTCGGTATATTTTATTGGCTAGGATTTCAACAGGTTGTTCATGTCCATCAAAAATGCTGATGTTCGAGACTTTAATTAAGTAACTCCAATTAAGTTGAAAGATGAACACAGTCATCATTGTTCCAGATATCAGCCATGACTTCCCTCATCACATCAGGCATTGGGAATTAATTCACTACTGAAACTTACATGTATTTTACCAAAACGTATATTAAAGACTTGAGATTTCAAGCAATACACCAAGATATGCATACAACCATAGTACCAGTACACTAGCCTTGAATTCTATCTGCATGCACCAGGTCAGCCAGCCGGGTGCATGTATAGAGTAACGTACCGACGTTTACACATCTACTGGTGGTGTGTTGGCCAAGAGAGCACAACAGCAATATGCTATTGTTTCTGTTTCTGGTGTTATCATGGTCAGACACAGAGCACTGCTTTTCTTCGGCGGTCTTATCAAGCAAGGATTTGTTCTATCCATTGCAAAGATATGATCTAAGGTGGTAGTTAACACTTTATAGCCTCCACTGAGTAAGTTTTTGGCACTTGTCACTGAAGATATTGTGACTGTTAGCGTTCAATGACTTCTTGGGGTTTTTTATTTACACTCTTGAACTTTCATTGTTCACAGTGTATCGATCTCATGTGTGCACCATCTGCATCCTTTAGAACATCTTCATAGCAACCTGCACTGAGTGACAAATTGCAGGGTTAGTAATGCATCACATCTGTATGTAATTTTCCCTGTTTGATTATTTCACAACTTTTCCCACACCAGTGTGATGATAATGTGTGCCACTCAGCAGGAAGTCTAGGCCATGTTAGAGGCCAGACCTCAGCAATCTGGATGGTATGCCTACCTAGACATCTTCAGATGGTACTCACACTGCTTAGACCACATGTAATTGTAGAATCAGGGCAGGTATGCAGAGAAAGTAAAGCAAGGAAGAAAACAGGGTGACAAATGTAGTGGATATGGGAGATGCGTGTTTTAACTCTGTAAGGAAAGGGGTCTTTTGGAAATTACTGAACAGTGTCTGGCAGATCAGGTCAGGAAAATTAAGAAAAAATCTGCTCTCAACAGCTGTAGAAATTGAAGAAATGAAGAGGGAGATGGTCTGGGTCGGGGTTTTGCCAGGGTTAGAGGATGCTTTCACATCTTAATGAATGAGGTTTGATCTGACAATGATACCCCTAGAAATGATGGAATGGAGAGTCTTCAGGATACGGATGATGGTTCAGAAGCTAGTAGCAGGGATGTGACTGCTGCAAACGAAGACAGAGGCCTATCAGATGACAGGATTCATGCAGGGGTGGATCATGGCACTAACTTGAAAGGAAGAGGATAGAATACGGAAGAGAACTGAAGAGGTAGTGTTATCAAGGGTCAAAAATAGCATTCGTGCACTGTGTTGTGTTGCAAGAAAGTTGACGGATTCCACAAGGGCTGTTAAGAAGATTCTAGATCCAATTAAGATGAATGGTACATCTGAGCTTAAGTCTTGTTTATGCAAGTGCTTTCTTGTAATGGGATACGTAATGGGATACGTGGGGTACAAGCGAGCTGTCAAAGGCAAAAGGGAAACAACGCGTTGCCGAGAGGGTTGGCTTGAGGACAGATCAAGGACCTTCAAGGGGATTGAACTCAAGGACAAGTGTTGGGAGCACATTTCGGAGGTTCTGAAATCTGAGGATGTGAACGTTCTTGGGACTTCAACATTCAGACTGACTTGTTGTTGTAGAACACAAAGAGTTGTATCACACTGTAAATGTGCATGTGCCCAGTGATGCAAGGGTGAAAAGCAAAGAGAAGGTCCTAAAGTACCACAATTTGGTGAGGGAACTTTGTAAGTTAAGAAGGTCAAGGTGAACGTCATTCTAGTTGCTGTGAGGTCACTGGGTGCCGTTCCCAGGTCACTGGAGACACATATCAGTGAGGTCGGCATGACTGTGAAGGCAAGGAGGCAATGCTGCACAAGGTGGCTCTCCCCGATACTAATAGAATTCTATAGAAGATGCTCGAGATCTGAGGCTACGGGACACAGCTTGGCGGGAGTTGGTCCAGCAGGTAAGGATAAGATTTCATCTCACTGTGCGTCATCAAATAATAATAACATAATAATAACCGCGTGCGTTGGGTTTGAATACACTGGAGCACTATTGGTATCATGCGAGCGGCAATGTAATGTACACAATTCTCTCAACTCAGTGACAGTAAAGGCAAAAAAACTAATCCTATTACCAGTAATGTGAACTGACAGTTGACATTTCAATGAAGTACACTGGTTTTGAGTTATTAGTAGGCCTACATCCTGTTAAGGTTGCGTTTTCAGTTATTGTCGGTAAAAAAATCGTATCGGATCGGACATCGGCCAATGTTCAAATTAAAACATCAGACATCGGATCGGCACTTAAAACCTGCATCAGTTGTTCCTTAATATATTGTTTTAATTAAAGCATAATTCATTAAAGTTTTTCACTACTAAAAACAGAAAACCCCAGAGATCTTTGTTTTTTCATACATATTGTTTGTCATTTTGTAAAAAAAAAAGCGCTTGAAGAAAATTATTAGATTTTGTTACATTTCAACATTCCCGAAGGTGTTCATGTACAACATAGTTCACAAGCAATGTTTGCACACACAGACTTGTGCAGAGATTGAGTACAATGTCTGTATTTTTGCCCTGATAATGTGACTTTTTGCCACTTTGTTAAAGTAGAGAAACACAGAGACCGAGCTTTTTATTCATTGTTACTAGGAAAGTACACCAAATTTTGCATTAAAACTCTGCTAATTTCATTTTTTAAATCAAAGGAAGAAAAATGAAAGGAAAAGCTCCAAATCAAAATAGGATCGAAAAGTGAGAGGCAGTTAAAAAACTGACAAATTGGATTGAGATATTTTAAATTCAGAAAGAAATAGTGTGTTCATCAGTGTTGTGGAAGTCCAACCTTAATTTTCCAAAGATGGAATGGGTTGTTCGTATAAAATGTTTAGGCTGGGCGAAAGGACAAAATATTATTACGTCTAACAGATTTTTCTACACAATAATAGGAAACCCACCTCCATACTTCCTACAATGTGTAATTTGTTTGTTGATAAGAGGCAAGGCATATTTTTGTGGAATGTATGGTAGTGCCATCCGGTCAATGTTCTACTACAAACATGGACAAAGAAAAAGAATGTGTTAAAGGTGGTATACATGTACACCATTGGTAAAATCCTGAAAATTGACTATCGAATAACCCCAAAATATATTACTTCAAAGAAAGTACACAAGTGCCTCAGTCAGTCTGTAAAATATTTCCACTCAGAATACTGTTATCGAGAAAACAGAAATGTTGTTCTCTTTTTCACGATGGTCGGCTGACCATCGTTTAAGAGTTTATTTCACTTCATACATTACATTCGCTAGGCACCAATTTTGTGTGTGTCGTGTTTGCAGATGTTGTGGGAGTCTCTATGAATGAACAAGTAATACTAAAAGCAGCTAGAAAACATACAGACAGAAATTCATCAAACGCATTGTAAACTGAAATTATAGGTAACTGAGCTTAAGGTGTAAAGTAGAAAATAACTTGGATCACTGTGAAGTTAAATTTTATGTATGGAAAGGATTTTCTTAATGTGAAAACTTTGCAAATGGCATGTTCTTCATAAAATGGACCAAAAAGCAACCTCAGCAGTCATTTTTCAAAACTTCTAAAAGAGTGACTTTGATCATGTAAAATAAAAATTAGCACCTTCAGATTTATAAAAATGATTATATGGGGATAATTAGGCATAATACATGTATGTCCTTATGGTGGACATTTGGTTGGCTACCAGTGCAAATCAAATGGAGTTGAATTCATTTAAAGTTTTACGTCAAAGTGTTTACAATAGAGGACTTGATTTCAAAACTTCTCTCAACAAGAAGGAGAATTCAGTACATTTTTTGACTGATGTATTTTAAAGCACCTTAGAAATAATTTTTTAAAAATATAAGCCACGAAAAAAGAGCACAAAATTGACAGAAAGTGATGAGAAAATTTTGGTTTTTGACGGGCTAAGTTGAAGACTTTTGCCGGTCTAGTGCGGATGTAGATACCTTCTGCTACGTGTTGGTTTGTTAACTCAAGCACTGCTGACAAGTATATTGTGAAAAGTGTGGGTGCCAATGGACACCCCTGTTTTACTCCATGTGAGACTGAGAATGGTTCCGAGACCTTGCCACCTGAATGGACCTGGGCAAACATGCCATCGTGAAATTGCCGCAGTAGAGAGATAAACTTGGGAGGAATCCCATATCTAACCAGGAGGTGCCATAGGCCTTCCCTTGCAACAGTGTCAAATGCTTTTGAAAATCAACAAAGAGCATGAGGAGTGGTTGTTGTTGCTAGATGGCTTTCTCCTGGAGTTGCCGCAAGGTGAATACCATGTCTATGGTGCTGCGCTTGGGCCCAACACTGCATTGTGATTCTGGCAAGATGACCTTTGCAAATGGCTTAAGGTGATGTAATAGCAGCTTTCCAAAGACTTTGCCTGGGATGGACAAGAATGAGATGCCACGGTAATTCCCACATTCACGATGATCCCCCTTAAGCTTAAAAATTGTAACGATAGTTGCATCACGCATCTGTTATTGAAGCTGACTGGACATCCAACAGTGGCTGAAGAACTCCAAGAGGCCTCTCACCGTCGGCTTTGACCACTTCCATTTGGATACCATCTGCGCCTGCGGCCTTGCTATTAGCAGAGCGAGCAATAGTGGTCACAACTTCATTGCAACTCGGTGGATCATCTAGGTCACGCTGAACTGGTCGTTGTGGAATGGAGTCAATAAGATCCAATTTGACTGGCTGGGTAATATTCAGGAGACTCTGAAAGTGCTCTTTCCATCGATGAAGGACTGATAGTCGATCACAGTGGAGCATTGAGCCATCAGCCCTTAGCAGGGGTGCTGCAGCAGAGCTGGTTGGGCCGAAGACTCCTTTGAGGGATTGGAAAAGGCAACCATGGTTGCCCCTCTCAGCACAGGCCTAAATATCCTCAGCAATTTGAGTCCACCAGTTGTCATGCATGTGACGCAGTTCTCTTTGGGCAACTGCACTGGCTCTGTTGTAATGCTGTCAGTCGGCATCTGAGCCGCTGTCTCGATAGGCCAGAAGTGCAGCTCGCTTTTTATTTAGCAGAGCCTCGATGTTTGCATCATTGTCATTGAACCAATCTCAATTTTTCTTTTTGTGAGGACCAAGGAATCTCTGAGATGGCTCACGAATGGCATTGGCGAGTTGAGCCCAGTAAGAGTCTACAGACTCATAATAAGGGATGAGTTTTGTGAGTGAGTCACTGATGGTAGAGTTGAGCTTTGTAAAGACTTCTGGGGAGTGGAGCTTGCCAACCGCTAGGCCTGGCTTAGGTTTAGGGGCAATTCTAGGTTGGTGAGTGCAAAGCTGCAGCTTCATTTTCGAACGTCTCAGCATGTGGTCTGTCAGAAAATCAGCACCGCGCATTGCGCGGGTAATGCAGACATCAGAGAGATGTGCTCTTCTTTTAATGACAAAATCCAACAGATGCCACTGCTTAGATCTAGGATGTTGCCAAGAGTTGTAATGATGATTTGGTAAATAGAAAAAGGTATTGGTGAAAGCCAGTTGAAATTCAGTGCAGAGGGCAAGGAGCCTGAGTCGCCGTTTGAGTTACTTTTACCCCGGCTGAAACGCCCAAAAACTGGAGACCAAATCGCTTAGTTAGACCCTACGCGGGTGTTGAAGTCTCCAAGAAGAGTTTTATCCTTGTCACAAGCTGAACGAAGCAGACTAGACAAGGCTTTATAAAACTCATCCTTAGCTTCCTCTGGGCTAGGCAGCATAAAAGTAGGAGCATAAAAGTAGGAGTAAGTAGAAGAATAAAAAGATGTTATCTTTGGAGTAGAAGAAAAAAAATATTAAAAACAAGAGCCGTTTCAGCCGCTGCCCAAAACACCTAAACTACACTTCATAAAACATGACATCATGATGACACTGTCCCAATTGCCACATACACATGTAAATGTGTAACACAGCCTGGTTGAGTACATGCAAATTATCAACTAAATCAGACCTATGAAATTGGGTTTAGAAAAGTGAAATATTGGGTTGTATAATGAAAACAGTTGCTATACTATAAAATCTGGAGTGCATGAAGACAATAAAAAAGGAAAGAAAAAAATATTAAAATAACAAATACAAAAGCTGTGTCTGCCTGTCTGCCGAAACATTAAATAACAACTTACTCTCTAATCTTTGCACCAGCTCTTTATTCTTGGCAGCTTGTTCCAGGGTGACATTCAGTCCTTCGCTAGGAATGTACAACACTGTGTGTCCCTTCATCTTGTAATGTGTATCCGTAAGGCTGGCCATAAAGCGATGCAGTTGGGCTGAGAAATCATTCTTGATACCTTATTGAAAGCTGTTAAGGATATAGTTACGAACAGTATCTCAAAGTAACAATTACTGTTATCAATCATCTCTTTAAAGGACTAACATGAGGCACGTGTGTATACATTACTCACAGCAGTGCCACTTCTAAGATTGCTGAAGATCAATGCCTTGAAAAAAAAACACATAAAAATCACCGGATTCCTCCTTTAATGACCATGTCCATGAGACAAACTGGGTGCCATAATCATGAAGTTGCAAAGGCACAAATTTCACACTCTGCCACCAATAAAAACAGAATGAATTTTGATGCTTACTCTTTTTTACACCCCTAAACAAAAATTATTGTATTACAGGCCTTCTAATTTGGCACATGCAACCTTTCTTCCATACTTCCCTGAAGAAGCATTGTTCACGGGCTTTACTAATGAGCATTCGCTTAAATATATGTACTTGATGCATAACAATAAATCAGTAATGAAAGTCATTTGAGTAATTCAAATGTCTCAATATTTACTCCAAAGTCTAAAAACTGATGTCCAGAAATTTCCCACAAAATCAGGCATAGGGTTCTATGATATTCTCAAGTAAATCAGTGATTTTGGTTTTGGTGTTAAAAAAATTTAAATAATTATTATCACCTTTCTTATCATGCTTTGTATCAAGTTTGTTAATCATTTGTTTATTTAACCTAAAAAGGTTCTCTGATATTTAAATCATTTGACATGATTTAAATATTCCAAATGAATATTCAAATCATGTCAAATAAAATGTCAATGCACACTTTTAAACTGGGCACTCATAAACAGGAATATCTGGAACTCACCAATATTTACTACTTATTTACAATAAACGTACTCGAGGACAAAGTACATGTAACAGCTTAACATTTGTTATAAGCAGCACACCATGACACAGTTAACATTCACTGGAGTTAAAGAAAAAGGAATTGTTTGCATCATTTTGTAATATTTATTTTTCATTTATGCTTAATAATCTGGAGTCTCTGTAGTAGTCTTGCCTATATGGACTCCATGTCAACTTTGAACCCTGGGGGTCTCGTCAATACTGCTACTGTAGTTGTAAACAGAATTAAGAAACCAGACCCCATGTCTCAACTAAATTAAAACAAATTGGTGAATCAAGTAACCAATAGAACACTAGCAGTCATGGAAAGGATACTGTCAGGCCACGATGTATTCTCAAAGAAGAGTGGTGCATAGATACTCTGCATCAGCCTTAATAGGCTCTCAACATGACCACTTTTGACAGAACCAAACTGTACCATCTTATCAATGCTGCAAGAGTCTGCAATAATTCCATCTTTACGTATGAAGTAGCATATTTCATCCACAATCTGTGGAGGAATCCTATTATCAAGGGTCAGGCCTAGCTGTGGATCCACATAGATGACTAATAAGCGGGACAGGTTCTGAGGCATAAAAAAATCCTTGATAAAATCATGATGCTCTGATGTCCACATCTCTGTTGTTAGTGCACTCAGAACTGTATGTTCTTTCACAAATTGAACCTGAAACAAACAGAATGTAAGAAAATATTAATGATTAAAATGTTTAAGTGATAAAACGATTTTTTTTACAACGCACATATACTACAATACATGTAATACATGTAATTTGCATGTTTGGTGAAAAGTGTTTTTTGAAGATTTATTGAAGGGAACAAACTTCAAAGGAATGATGCCACAAAATGAACCACTGAACTTCCCTCAAAACATTACCAAAAGTGAACTACCAGGTAGCTATAGCTGGGAGGCATGAATACTGGATGATCAGACATTCATAATACTGCACCATTTTGATAGGTACATGTGCATGTACCATACATGTACATATTGTGTGAGAATTCATGGGCGTCAATTGCTCCTAAAAAGTAGGGGACAGACAAGAAACTTTGATCAGAACTATTGCAAGCACAAAGCCCCATTGGCATGGGGTTCATATGTTTTTCTCCATGAAATTCTCCAATCACCCACTTTCGAAGAGGAGGACTAATCAACAGACCATTTTACTCCACCCCCCCCCGGAGAAAATGAAAAGTAAAGGTTGTGAACGAATAATTATAGTTCCATCTTTTTTCTTTTTTTTTCCTTTTTCAGCTTCTTACCACATTGTATTTGTATAAAAACTGTATTGCCCTACTTCAGAAAACATTCTGTGCATTTTTTATTTTCGAAGTGGTAACTTGTACAGTGGGTAGATTTTCTCCATTCTGAGTCAATTTCTCCTGACCAAGGGTCCTAAAAGGTGTTCTTAAAAGGTGCATTCCACTACATCACTAGATTCTGCATGTGACCTCATTATTTTGTGATCCCAAAGGTTACTTATAATGAGCAGTGCCATAATCAAGGGCCTGTTTATTTCACACAGATCTGGATCATAATCAGTGATCCCAGGGCTGTTTCCTGCTATTCATTAGGTAGGTTCTGGTCTTAGTGAACCAACGATGCTGTTTTCTATGGGTGCATATTTTACAGTGTAGTGCAACCTTAAGCAGAGTTCTTAGCAGTCTAAAATTTTAACAGGTACAGGTAGGGCATGCAGATAATGCAGCCACCAATAATATGCCCTGTGCCACACAGTTGACAAACGCAAATATGTACATCACACACAAATCTGTTGTGTGCATGTACATGCAGGGTTCGAAATTCACGACAGCCAGTGCGGTCAATGCCCTTTTACTTGCCTTGATGCCCCTCGGAAAATTGCATTGTCCACGGCCACTTTTGCTGTGCCCTGTGAACACTTTGGCCATTATGCCTTTTCCAGTGAGTTGTCAAAATTATTAACAATAAATTCAGCCCAGCGCTCGCCGGCCGTGCCGGTCGGCGAGACCATACCACGAGCGATCAGGCTTGCACAGCCCGCATGGTATATGGCCACATTGCCTTCACTCACGCAAACGCGTACTCACAAAATTTCTTAAGTAGCGAGCTGTTACTATAGTTATGCACACCCCCTGCATTACAGGCCAAGCCACGTGTGCGCTACATGGACTGTCCAGAGGGGGTAGTGTTGACTGTTCAACTTCATGTAGCAATGAACATCATGCGTGCTAGCAAGCACAGACCCGCACCCCTTATGGATTGCTAAGTACGGTGTCCCATAATGCACTGCTGCATATACCGCTATTGCACACTTTCGCATTGATCCGCTGCACGTGCACAAGCACAAACCCGTACCCTTACGGATACATGTTGCTAATCGGAGTGTCCCATAATGCATTGTTACATATACATGTACATGTACCACCAGTGCACTCCGCATTGATCCGCGCCATGTATAGTACGTACTTCAAGGGACGCGGACCAGCCATGTGGAATCAAAGTTTTCCTATCGGTACCAGCCCGCTGTCAGTTTGTACGACACGCGACAATGTCTCAGAAAGAAAATTTGAAACGTTCCTTTCATAAGGAGCTCTGCAACTCGGCTACAAAATGCAAGAAATTGGATTTTTTTCATGCATGGGTAAGAGGTGGTGTCACCGTGTGTAGCTCCGAGATTGGCAATGTTGACAGCACCGTGATTTCCCGAAATCTGTGCCAGGTGAAGATGCAGCCACGCCGGCAATGCAGGCGTCCAAATATATCTCCCGCCCAGCATTGCTGGCAACAAACAAAAGTAAAGGGTAAAAAAAATAAAAGGGCAGCAGAACTTGTTAAGCCTTATTGCTCTTGTTTTCATGTCAGGGTGGGAAGCCTAAGGGGATGGCAGGGTTCTTGGATACAATGTAGATTATTTAGCTGGTAACTTGAAAGTCTAAAAGTCAACAAAAGGGATGTGCACACATTTTCAAGTGTTTCAAGTTTCAATTTTTAAATTAATTTGACGATCATTTATGTGCAACTCATGCCCTATTCATAGAGTATAACAATTCCTGGTGTTAGGTTTTTGTCAATTTTTTTCCACAATAAAGCAAAAGAATGCATTTTAGAGGTTGAACAGATTGTGTTTTGACAAATTTGCCTTTGGGCCCTTATCAATTTTCGACAATGGCCTCCGTGCCCTTTTAAGTGGCCTTGGTACCCCTGGAAATTTTGACTTCTCCAAGGCAAAATCGCCTAGGCCCCTAAAAAACGAATTTCGAACCCTGTACATGTACACATACATGTATATACTTCCATGCACAATCCAAAAGTACAAAGAAATACACATTGAGCTTTCAGCCAAAATGGAGACTACCAGTATTATATAAAAGCAATTATGATGTGACTGACATTTCATGTGAAAGTCCGTATATGACTGCTGAGGATGAAAAAGTCCTTAGAATCACACATAATGAATTACTTACAAATTTATGGTCTTTTCATTATAACTTCTGGTCTGATGACATTATTTTTGTATATGCATTGTACGTAGGTCATCATATAGTTGACTCTCATGAATACAAGGGCCTTGGGACAAATTATCTTGTATCATCCAAAACCTCTTTTTAAGCGAAAAGTATTTTCATACTCATACGTGTCGTTTATCAATCGTTCTAGTTACATGTACATGTATGTGGCCAATTCATACACATGTTCTTGTTGATAGTGTTGTATACTGACAAACAGACAAAATAAATCAGATTCAACAAAAAAGATTTTCAAATTTGCAAATCTAGGAAATCCAGACTATTCACTAATACAGTTCATCAAAAGTCATCAAAGCAATCAAACTTAAAAGAATGGTCAACACACAAATCAGTTCACACTGTACATCTTAACATCAAAATCAAACTTATAGAATCATGATTTTAATATCATGCTTGACCAGCAGCTTTGGTGTATGGTGGATCCAAATGGGAATGCAAGACGTCAGCCTGTTGACGCAAAACAAAAGTTCAGTTCATAAAAAGTCTCATTATGCCAGACAAGAATAGGGCCAACTGAAACTTCAGGAAGATGAAACCAGCACCACAGCCATAGAGACAGTATAAATGCGGCCGCATAAATGCGGCAGCCAGTCGAACAAACTATCTGTGACACAAAATAAGGCCCGTAGAATCATCAGCGCAACGACGGAGACCACACCTACTGTAGATTAATCAGGGCATAAACAGGGGAAGGTCTCAATATTCCTGAGAGATGAAGAACTGCAGACAGCAAGCTCATAAGTACATGTAAGGCTAGTGTTAATTGCAGTCTTGTCTGGAGAACTGTCTATGCCCAGCCAGCCATCAAAATATTTGAATGTTGGAATTGCGGACTGGTGTAGGCAGCCACAACTTCCACCATTCGGGTGAAGACCCTGAGGGACAATGAGAGATCGAATGGTCGAATCTCGAAAGTTCCTCTGTTGTAGATGAATCAGAGGAACTTGTAAAAACCGTAGATGGACTGAAGGCGAAAGTAAGCAGTTTGCTGATCCATTAACAATAGCCAGGATAGAGTCAACAGAGATTGAAAACCGTAGAGTGTTTGGGATGCCCCCATGCAGAACTTCTAAGGGCAAAGTGAACCTCTTTTTTTTCTTTTCTTTTTTTGTCCCAATGCTTGCCCATTCGATCTTGCCGGAAGGATTGGCATTAGGTGAAAAATATGGTCGGATGGACAGGCACCCCAAGTGCAAAGAATAGTCAACAACAGTGGCAAGAACTTATCTGGCCTTAGTGCAGACTTGCCAGAACCTTATAATGCCCTTTGTGTTGTTTGCGTGGGCTGACAAGGGGAGGGCAGTGCCAAGCTTGACTGGTGAACAGGGTGAATGAGTGAGCTGGCTCGGTGTGATTAGCCTACAATTCCATCGCCTCTATGAGTTTTCCCAGAGATGAGCCTTTCTTATAAAGAGGGAGAGGCCAGAAATGGGCGAGAGGCCAGAAATGGGCGAGAATTGCTTAAATATAGAACCTGCATTCCCATTCAGTGACAAACAGCCAGCTGAAAATCATGTTCCCAGTTCAAGAAAAATGAGTATTTTCAATGAGTTTTCTTAACTGAATGAAAAGAAAGGAATGTCCACAGTAGGTATGTAAGGTAAGTGTGCGCTAACCTTACATACACGTCGGTTAGAAGAGGGCCAGGATCCGGAGGTGAAAACAACAGGTTCAAGCTTCGGATCAAGGCAGCTGACCAGCAAAGAGAGTGAATCAGAGTAGAACCGCAAAGTCAAGATTATAGTTCAGGAGGAAGCAATGTGATGTTAGGACGAACACAACTTCCTACAAGACGACCCAGTGGGAAGAAGACGTGGAGTGTTTGCGCCCCTTATACGTGGAAGAGTTTGCAGACAAAATCAGACAGGGCTGGACGGGCGGGTAAGAACGGCCAAGCTGCAGATCACGTCCGAAAAAAGTGTTGTGGTGTTAGGACAAACACAGCATCCTTCTGAAATACCCAGCAAAAAAAGACATGGGGCATTTACAGCTGTTACGCATGGGGGAGGTGGTGGAAAAATCATGAAAGACGTCAGCTGGGCAGAAGCGGTGGAAGAATAACCAAGTTGCGGATCATGTTCTGGAGGAGGCTGTATGGGGTGAGCCGCAGTGGTGGGAGGCCCAAAAGCGATCTTTTGGGAAATCTCAGAGATGCCA